TTTCCAGGTTCCTTTCATAAGTGGCAGAGAAACTAAAGATGAGAGGACGATAAGAAAAGCAATAGCATAGATCGCAGTTACACCGCCACAGCGAGTAACAATGGCTGCACTAAAACGAACAACAGTACTGACAATAATAGCACCAATAATGATGATGTCAAACTACAAATGATGGGTTCATTTCACCAAAACCATTTTTACTCTTTTCAGTGTCATACACTTCCCTACAATTACAGCAAAAAGTGCGATAAAACTTTTGTCCGCTCAGCAGTTTTCCTTACAATATGCAGCAAAAGCGAAAACTTGTAACAGCGGAAGAGGCAAAATAATAAATAAGAACAGGGCGATAATAGTGACCACCACCATTAGCATCACTAACAACATCAGCTTCATCAATTGTGTCTTCACCAAAGCACACTCTATCGTCCATATGTCTGCCTGCATAAGCGACGGCAGTCAGCTCCTATGAGCGCTGAGTCAGCCGTACGCCTTAACCGTCCTCAGCTTGGCCCTCGTCCTAACACGAACAAATATACACAAGTACATGAATTAAAATATATGTGCGTATACGCCTATAGACGAAAATAAACAAAAACTAGGTTTTTGCGAGAGCCCCTCATTATCGATTTACTATGATTAAGACCCCTGGCCTACCAGCGCGTTTTAAACCGCAGCTTGCTAGACTACGGGCGGTATAGACATTAAGCGAAAATCTAGAAGTTTCTTAGCACATAGCCTTGAACCAAACTGTCAAAAAAAAAAAAAAATCCTACTAGTTTGCCTGGTATGTGCTGTTGGAAACAGTAACAGATGTGTAAATGCGTGTGCGAAATTGACTGTGCAGGATACGTTAAGTAAAAAGCTTTTGTTAATACCAAACCAGCGGTGAATTCGCTAAAATCTCTTTTTGCTTACCTTCATTTCCGAATACTTATTTTAAGGTGTTGCTCAAGGACCTAGACTTTTCCTGTATTCGATGCCTTTCCAACTGGTCCGAGGTTTGCGGTTCTTAGATTTTAAATATTAGATTGTCATTTGCAAAAAACTAATGATTGATACATCTAGTTGGTGAGCATCATACTGACTAGGTGGTTGTGAATTTCTCCTTTAGTTTTAAGTTAATGTTCTTTTTTTTCAACCGTACTTTAGACTTGCAATGTACAAACGATTATTAGCAAATCGTACAAGAGACGTGATAAAAATGTATTTTTATTCACCAGTACTGTAATGCAAATATTAAATTAAAAATTTAAAAGTCCTAATCGTTAGTAACTATTCAAAAATTGCTTGATAGACGTCCAATCTTTCCTTGAACGGTTCCTGTAACTTAGTCTTTTTTCGTAACTAACTGCCATTTTGGCCGCACGTATCAATGGATACCTACCTTGGCCACAAATACCCTAAAAATATTTGTTGTGTAAAAGAATGTTGCCATTCCATCATAAAAAAATTTTAAAAATTACCTTATAGTCGTCGCTATGCAGATCAAATATCATAATACCACCTAAGTTATTTTCTCGAGCATACCTCGCTTTTGAATACATACTAGACTGGTCTTCCAAACTGAACCACTGATCTTTGGCGCCATAGATATACGGAGATCTCGCCCGTTTATTAAATGCGTAAGTGTAGTCTTTGTCTTTCACTAAATTGCACACCTAGAAATGATGTGGCAATTTTCAACTGAAAAATTTAATTGCTGATGGTAGGAACATCTTGTTGGATGATGAATAAACTTTTACGAACGGTCAAGTACTGAAGTTACTAGGTAAGAATTGAAAACTGAACTGGACGGAGGAAAACTGATCAGCATTTGAACGAAACCTACAACTTCCAGAAATTTCACAATTCTTTGTGATGGACTAACGTCAGCATTACGATTTATTAGGTATCACACTTACTTGAGCGTAAGTTTGGGAAGCTCCTAGCTTAGAAACGCCAATCGTCGGAGCATATAGCGAATGCAATGCGGGGATTAATAGAGTGTATCCTCGACCGTATGTGGGGATCCCAAACAAGATTTTCTTTCGTGAAACACCGTTGCGAATCCAGTATTTAGTTGAGTAATCCCGAAATAACAGTTATTGTTACTTTAAAACACATATCTCTGTGAAAAAATTTGAAGTAATTAATACAGGATGAATGCAAATTACTGTATATATTGGTTGATACAAAACTTATTGGGCGGTGGTTGATTTGCTGCTTTTGAACACACGCTAGATTTTGAGAAGTTTTTGACTTTAAGACGCTTAACAGCTGATTTGCTAATGAATTGAAATTTTACTTATTCTTTCTTAATTACTGTAACTCTAATATACTGTTTTTTTCCCCTTTTAGAACTGTTCACCTAATCAACAAGCTTGCCCTCAACCAGTTAATAAGATATGACAGAATACCGAGTTCATTCTTGCTAGTAAAGGAACTGCAAATGATGCTTCTCTGAATAGCGGGGCATTAAAACCTGTGAAGGGGAAACTTTTCGAATACACATGGAAATCGTAGTTCATTATTTGAATATAATCCAGGTTCCTGAAAATCTTGTGATGTACCTACTGCTGATGGTTTAAGACAAAGAATTGCAGCAATCTATCTCTCGTTTATAGACCCGTTTATTTTCGAGGGTTAATTGTTAGTGATTTTTTTCAGTACCTGCTGAGAACCTTAATATCGTAGGCCTTTTTAACAATGTCGTACGGTGCTGCTACAGCGGCAGTGAGCAGGGGTTTTCTGCTTGATTCATTGAACGCATATCGGAGCTTCTGTAACAACCAAAAAAAAAAAAAACCATATTTTGTAATCTGCACGATGCATCGCTGGCAGTCTTCAAAATTTTAAAAGTGATATTTGCGGTTGTTTTCAACAGAATAAAGCCAAACCTCAAGCATGTATGTAAAGCCAATTTTGTCCGTTTTTTTTGCATCTTTGCTCCAAACAGGAAACTCCCAGTCAATGTCAAAACCGTCTATTTTGTGCTTCAAGAGGAACGTAGTTACATTGCTGACGAAGCTATCTAATAAATACTCACTGTCTACCTAAAAAAAATTCGCTTACTAGAGCTTCCAAATTTTTAACCCAGTAAAACTGTTAGAAATCGCTAGCGACAAATAATTAAAGAATATAATAAACAGCTACAATTACCATAAACTTTTTAAAGCAAAGTGAAACAAACCAATTTTGACATATAAGTGTTTTTTGGTGTAAGCGAGAACAGAATTTTTAGTTTAGGATTCTTCTTTTTCATTTTCCATAGGGCGTTTATCTCATCCGTTCTTGGGAGTACTATAGTGCTCTTGTGATCCAGATGACAGGAGCCAATCAAGATTAAATGGGTGCAAAGATTAACGTCAATGTTTTCAACTGGCGGATTATCGTGCCTAAATCCTACTTTTTTTACTAACTTCAAAGCATTACAATTGAAAAAACTAGCATCAACAAATAGAGTACTCCTCAACAATCACTGCATTTTATATACATTCAATAACAGTCGCTCATTCTAAATCCCTACAAATCTTACTTTATTATCAAGAAACGACTTTGTATGAAAATTACTTTCCTTTTGTTCGAAATAAATCTACCAAATTTTCAAAATCCTTAAATGCTATTCTTCTTTCGACCGCCATTAGCCAAAACTTTGACAAGACATTTTGATAGATTGGTTAAGATACAGAATCGACGTATGCCGGTACAGAAATAAAAGACCGTCAAAGCATTTAGTCACTTAGATATTTATTTCTTCGTTTGAACAGAATTACCACTGATACAAACAATAAGCTTATTACTTCTTTAGAAATATTTCTTCACATACCTCTATAAAGTTAAGCTAGTCTTAGTTTATCTTTTTAGTTATATGACATATAAATCTAGAAGTTGCAAAAAATACATTAATTTCTACAGATTTTTCACGTCGATGATTAAATTTGTCTCAACCACCACAATTTTATATTGCCTATGCGATAACCATTCTTAAGGGAATAATATTAACAACTGCTTCATCTGAAGCTACGCACTAGGTGGCTTTAATAAAATGGAAAAAAGATTGGGTGTATAAGCATAAAACCTAAAGGCTCATTGGTGTTCGCGGCCTGCAAAAACAATAAAAAAAGAGATAAACTTACTCAAAATAACAGCTTACAACGAATGCGGTGACATCTGCGAGACAAAGTGAAAGAAACAGCACCAACAGTTTTAAATAGCCCATTTTGTAGATTCAGAATCTTTCGGAAGGAGCCCAGTTCTGATCGACCGGCCGTCCTCAGATGCACAAATTCAAACGACACCGTTTTATTTCGGCTTCTTAAAACTCCACCGTTTCTAAAGGATATTAGATTGAAAACATTAACGGTGATATTTGACTTCATTTATTGTTATTCGTCAAAAAAATGCAGGATAATCGGGTTTCTCTACTCTAGCAAAGGAAGTTGCAATTGAAACTAACGTCGTCATTAAGTTAATAGAAGTACCACTGGAATGAAGTCAAACTTTGACTGATATGCCTTCTGAATTAACTGATTAAAAAGATTTAGTACATATTTGGCATAACTATCAATTTTTCAACTATCAATGATGTGTTAAAAATTACAGCAGTATTAGAAGTTATCTATGTAGAACATCCCCTATGAATAAACCGATAGATCAATCAATTTGACATCTCAAAGCTGTCATAGACTAGACCCCTATTTCGTTTCTTGAAGTTTTTATTCAAAAAATTATTGCTTTTTTTTGCATCTTTTGTGGTGTCGGTGGTTACCGGATTTATCAGCTTTCCGTGTTCATCAGAAGACAAATGTCTCCTCACTTTATTCGTTCTTTCCCTTGTTTGGCAAGTGAATATCTTGAACGCTTACTACGCTGTGTGCCATTCAAACGGAGAAGAGAAATCATTCAATATAAGATCCTTCAAAAATAAAATTCTCGACTCTGTATGGAAAAGTTACCCAGGATAAGTAATTTGTGATTATCAGGTAACGTTTCATTGACGGAGCCGAAATTTTCCTACGAATATAACAACATTCACAATCGTGATTATTTTGTTCATCTACTTAGTAAGTCGTTACTTTATTTGCAACTCTTCATATAT